AAATAACACTACGTTACGATTCACTATTGTTTTTATCCATAATATTGAATGTGATAAAATTATTCACCTTTTTAACAAGAAAAATCTCAAGTTGATGTCAAAAATTGCCGAAAAACCATTGTCGATGTATTTAAGATGGAATGATCTATTATGACATGTCTCTAATTTGTATTTAGGTACATTGTATTTATTTTCAATTTTTCTAGTTGAATTATTCACCTATATTGCATATGATCGATTATTGTATATAATTAGCTTACAATAATATATGTATTTTATATGAATACTACCTTATAAAAATTGAGATATAATAGATCGGAGGGCGGGGTCATATCATAATTTCGAGGGTATCATAGAATTGGGGGTATCATAGATTCGGAGTGTGGCATGTGACCCTTGCATCGACTCTATTCTAATGCTTTCTTCTCCCACCCTTCTCGTTTGTGGAACTCTCTTCTGGTCTCTTTATTTTCTATCAACTACAATCTTCAAAAATTTAAATGCAATGCCAATCGCTATATTCTGTCTCCTTGTACTCTATTCTTTTAGCGCCCTCTCCGTTTTTTTTTTTTTTCAATCTCATTAATCCTTTGTACGTTAATGACTATTATTGCTTGAGATGAAATGACAAAAAACAAAAAAAAAAACCCAAAAAACAAATCAGTCTGAGACTAGTTTTCGCAGTAGCGAAGCAGTGAACCACCAATTTTCCGACCCAGTTAGGTTTAGGATAAAGTCAAGCAAAAGAAAGCATACAGTTTAATCAGGCTGATATTGATGCAACTGACATATACAAACCGAGTTTACCCTTATCAGAGTTCTTTCTAAGAAGGTGATACTCTTGAAGCATAGTTTTTTGGGGTTTTTGTTTGTTTGTTTGTTGTTTTTTTTTGTTGTTTTTTTTTTTTTGTACTGCGAGACAAAAACAGATTTTTGTAGGCCGATTAATATCAGTTAAACAATACGGAAACATTGTGAATTATTATTATTTTCTTTAAATCTTATCATTTATCAAATAACTACTGGAAAGTTTAATAAAACTCAATAATTAGTAGATTTTTAGTAGAAGATATTTTGATTTAAATCGAGGTGTTTTTCGCTTAAAATTCAAAACAAAATCAAATTATGACGATTACATTTTGTTTACAGGTAAATAACTTATCAAACTGTCACTTTTCATAAATTTTCCCGGTTTTTATAAATACTAAGTGTCCTAAATTTTAGACACATCAATATATATATATATATATATATATATATATATATATATATATATATATATATATATATATATATATATCACCAATATTTTCGATTACGATTTCCTAGAGACCCTACACGCAAGCTGATAGTTGCCCACTGGTGGGCCGCCGATGGTAACACCAGCAATCCTCCGGTTGGCCACTAGCGGTCCGCAAGTGATAACATTGCCGAGAAGAACACGCCGGCGGTCGGACAGCGGGCCACCAGTGTTAAACGCTAGTGGCCTGCCACCCAGTGGCAGATTGGTGGCTTGCGTGTAGGGAAATGGCAAAATCCCACTTATGCATTGGTGTTAAGTTTTTGCTGACTTGCTGAAGTAAATTTTAGGAATAAATATGCAATATTTTCCAGAAATTAAATTTTCAAAAGCATTTTATTGCACTGGAATATTAACAAATAGCGTCTTCAATATGAATTTCATCATTTGTGATTCAAAGATTGATGCGCATTGCAAGATTCACATAAACTCGATGCAATAAATCCACATTGCAATCAATTTTAACACATTCAGTATACATTCAATCAAATGTGTTGCATCTGTGATTTTCATTGAGTACCCCTCCTCCTTTAACATACCTCAGAATAAGAAGTCAATTTTTTTCTTTTTTCAACAAAACCATATTTAATCTGTAGAGGAAAAAAATATAGTTACTGAGATTTCCTATGTGTCCAGATTTTAGGGACAATTTGTAAATAGATATGAAAATATTGGGGATCGATATATACTTTTTGACTCACTGTTACGAGGCCCAATTTTGTCCTACTTCTTTGCACTTACACTATAAAATACAAAACCTAACTTAAATTGATGACTTAAATCTGTAGATACTAGATGCCATTTTTACCTTACGAAAAGCTTCCATTCACCAAACCTTTTAGATTTCATAATAATAGAATGAAACTTTTTAGAAGTCTCCAGAAACTTCTACTTGATTCTATAGGGTCCATAAAGCATATATAAACAGGAGTTCATACCAACTAGCCAGTTGGCCTCCTGAACCCACAGCCACGAAGACTGAGGTTGACTCCAGTCCCTTTTGATTCATGAACAAAGCTACGACCGAAAGAATCTAAGTTCCGACAGTCCACGAAAAGAAAAGGGTATCGGTAAATACATCACCTTTTTTGACCACACTCCTTTATTTTGTATACATGTGAAAGTTCCCAGAAAAACACGCCGGCGGTCCGAGAGCGGGCAACCAGTGTTAAACGCTAGTGGCCTGCCACCCAATGGTAGATTGGTGGTTTGCGTGTAGGGAAATGGCAAAATCCCACTTATGTATTGGTGTTAAGTTTTTCCTCAATTTAAGCAAATTTTAGGAATAAATATTAAATGTCATTTAATAATGAAATTAAATATTTACTAACAAAAAACATTTTTTAATCTGACGTAACCTTTTCCTGAACAAATGGATGTGATTTCCCATCCCTCCACACAGGCATAAATAGAAATAAATAAGACAAAAAATGCACATACATACACCGATTCGTACTTAACTACACCCACTGTAGTTATGTACCATGCGTAATACACGCTTAGGTGATCATGTATCTTTCGATACATGACTGACGAGGCGGTATTAACTCCTCCCCCCCCCCACCTGAACGAGATGTGACACAAGGTATTTTTTAGGTAGGGATCCGAGCGCGTACGCCCGGGACAAGGACAAAAATTGCCCTCAGCCCTCGCAACCGTTGGTTGCGCTGGCCTCGGTGCGAGAACCGATCCCTCCCTCTTGTGCAATGGGAGGGCGCGGCTTCGGGCAACTGTTCCCCAGGGCTGGGCATCTCTCAGTATTATTTCTCTCAGTTTTCCCTCTGTCCTTTGACAGAGAAGTCCCTGAGCGCACTCTGCCCAAAGACAGAGACGCAACTGAGAGATGATAAGCCTGCGTTAGAAATTCCTCCAAGAAGAAATATTTACATGACTGACGAGGCATTTTTTTTCCTGCAGTGGGTTTCCATTTCTTTCTGCAGCAGACCAGTTGTCATCGAATGCTAAAGAACCTAGTCTGTCTGGCTATTTACTCATAGCTGGGGGAGACGAAGAGGATTCATACCTTTCCCAAGAGTATTAGCACTTCAGTCAGTCAGTCAGTCAGTTATGTGCCATGCGTGATACACTTCTAGATCATGTATCTTTCGATACATGACTGACGAGGCAGTAGGTTGCCATTTCTTTCTGCAGTAGATCAATTGCCATTCAAGGCTATAGAACTCAGTCTGTCCTGTTATTTACCCATAGCTGGTGGAAGAACAGGATTCATACCTTTTCCCAAGGATATTACCACGTAAATGAATTTAATGGGTTCGACAGGAATTCCAACTCGGCTCTCCGATTCCTCCATCGGAGCCGCTATCCATTAATCTACCGTACCTCCCCACCCACAGTGGCGCATATAGAAGTTTGAATCAATCAGTCCGTAGACTGACACAGATATTTTTGAAACGGAATATTTAATTCTTTATTAATGGACGTTTATTGACAATGAAGGAAACTATGTTGAAAATTAAATATTTTGGGTTAAATTATTTTCTTTTATCGTTAAGATACTTCTCTTTGATTTTTCTTTCACAAGCAAGACCGGATACATAGACGCACACAGAACGACACGTAAAGGCATGCACACACAATGACTTGCACATAAAGAAACACACAAGTACGCACACACAATCACAAACGCGTGCAGACGGACACATGGAAACACACACGCAAAGATGCAGACACAAAAACACGCCTACGCAAAGACACATTCAAACACGAAAACGCATCCACATATACAGAGACACACACATACACACGCATGCGAACACACGCATAAACTCACAAGGACATATGCACAAGTACCAAAAGGCAGCCACGCGCAGACACAAATACACACACACACACACACACACACACACACACACACACATATATATATATATATATATATATATATATATATATATATATATATATATATATCCAAGTATAGGGTTGGTGTATACGGAATAAATTCCAATAACCCAAAAATTCTACAGTCAACTCCATCACTTGATAAGACAACATAACTTTTGAAACAAAATGGCTATTCTTGTAGTGATTTTATAACATAATGATGTTATCATTTTGAATAAATTATATATATATATATATATATATATATATATATATATATATATATATATATGTTTAATCGATAAAAATAGGGCGTCTGTTTCAAATAAAAATAATATAACCTTTGAAAAAGATATACATATATATATATATATATATATATATATATATATATATAGAGAGAGAGAGAGAGAGAGATAGATAGATAGATAGATAGATAGATAGATAGATAGATAGATAGATCATTTTTTTTAAATATGATTCCATCGCTACATTATATTATTTATTCTCTCTCACTCTCTCCCTTCTTTCTATCTATCTATCTATCTATCTATCTATCTATCTATCTATCTATCTATCTATCTTCCCTCATTTTCTGTACACACAGACACAGACACACACACACACATATATATATATATATATATATATATATATATATATATATATATATATATATATATATATATATATATAACGTTAAGTGAGACACAGAGATGTCGGTGTCATTTTTGTCTCTATGATTTTACGTGTTTTATCAGGTGTCGTCATTTCTTTGTTTATTTGTTAAACCTTTTTTCTTCTGCATTTTAAAAGTGCAACGGGTTTTGAGCAAGTCCATTTGCAAAAATAGGAATCACGAAAGCAGACTGTTTGTTTGGCATTGCAAATAAAAGACGAAGGAAAGAAAATAAACGCAACGGAGGACAAAAAAAATAACTACAAATTCATGAGGAGAAAATACATGAAAGCGAGCAAAGAATGGAGTCGGCGAAGGGGGAGGGGAATGGGACAAGCGAAAGTGTAAAGAAAAGAAATAGAGAAATATAGAGAGTAGAAAGTCAGAGCTAAAAGAGGGACAGGATAAAAAAAAATGAGAGAAAGAGAGTGAGCGAGAGAGTAAACGTACAAAGAGGAAATGAGAATAAAGAGAGGAGGAGGAAAGGAAGATGAAATAAGAGGAGGAGGTACGAAATCTAAAAGAGAAAAGGCGATAAATTAACATAAAAAACGAGAGAGAATGAGAGAAAGATAGACCGTGAGAGAAAAAGTGAGAAGTGGAAGAGAGGAATAAAGAAAGGAGGAAGAAAGAAAGATAAAATATTAAGAGTAGGAGGAGGGGGAGTTTGGAAGAGGAGCTGGGGGATAGAAGAAAGCTAAACGAAAACACGAGAGAAGTTAATATAAAAAAGAGAGACAATGAGAGAAAAGGAGAGACAATGAGAGAAAAGGAGGGAGGTGGAAGTGAGGAATGAAGAAATGAGGAGGAAAGGAAGATAAAATATGAAGAGGAGGAGGGAACAAATCTAAAAGAGAACAGCGGATAAATTAGCATCAAAAACGAGAGAGAATGAGAGAAAGATAGACCGTGAGAGAAAAAAAAAAGAAATGATAAAAAGTTAGAGATGGGGAGAGAAAATGAATCAAGCAGAAGAGAAGAAGAAAAAGGAAAGAAGAGAAATGGACAGCAAAGCATTAATGAATAAGAAAGAAAGAGAAAAAAGAAAAAGAATGAAATGTAAATTACAGAAAGCACCATTGAAATTGCCAAATCCATCTATCTATCTATCTATCTATCTATCTATCTATCTATCTATCTATCTATCTATCTATCACAACCTGTTCTGTTTATCTAGCTAGCTAGCTAGCTGTCAGAAACTATTATCTATCTATCTATCTGTCTATCTATCTATCTATCTATCTATCTATCTATCTATCTATCTATCTATCACAACCTGTTCTATTTATCTAGCTAGCTAGCTGCCAGAAACTATCTATCTATCTATCTATCTATCTATCTATCTATCTATCTATCACAATCTGTTCTGTATACACGTGCGCACGAAGGCGATGGGACTGTTAAATGTTAATTTTTTTTATTTTGTGTTTAGATATACAAAATCCCAACTTAATTTAGTTTCTTTCTTCTTTTTTTGTATTATTATCAATTTGTTTATTAAGCACCCCAAATTGTGATAACAGATGATCTGCCAATAAAGGTGATACGTTGTAAGAAACTGAGCGTAAATCTACTGCTGAAGATAAGCAATTAAAGCACTTTCTATACACTTGTTTCTTAATAAATTGCTAGCACTTTTAATTAAAGTAGCATTATTTTTTTTTAAATCAAAATTATGGTCAGACTCATTACGGTGAGCAACTAATGCACTGAGTGTGATGTTTTTTTAAAATGTCTCTTTTGTGTTGATATAAGCATTTAATAAAATTTGTTGAGGTTTCACTGATGTATTCCTTGTAGCAATTACTACAGGTAATGGATTAATTACCTCCTTCAAGTTTAGATTATTATTTTGCTCTGTACTTTGTCATAGATTTTTGTAAAATTGTTCTTAAGATTTATATATTATTTCCCACATATATATATGTGTGTGTGTGTTTGTTTATGTGTGTGTATGCGTCTGCGTGTGTGCATGTGTCTGTGTGTACGTGTGTGTAACGTAAAATTATAAAATATGAAAATATAATAAATTGTTTTCTCTTTGAATTAAAAAATCATTTTTTACATTTCGTATATAAAATGCATATATCATTTTCTGCTATCTATCTATCTATCATAATCTACTCAAATCTATCTACCAATCATAGTCAGTTCATATGTTTAAAACGCTAACTTTATCCAGGTTCGAATCCCATCATGGTTAATATGTCAGGAATGTGACTTATTAATATTATTTGCGATTTGCGACACCTTACCACAGAGTGACCCAAGTCTTGAAAGTGAAGTTGGGTAGACGGAATTATTCAGGAGCTGTTGCTGGATGTCCTAGCAAGGAGACACAAATCATCGTGGCCGAGGGTTTGAATGTATTGGGTTTGTTATAAGTGATGAATTTATGACAGATTATGCACAGAAAGTGTAACTAAGCCCCACTTAGCTTAGTTGCAGTATAAACCACGGGTGGGCTCTGTGCTTATTGGTCAAGCACAAAAGTGCCTGAGAAGGTTTTCTATCTAACAATCTGTTGATATTTGTCTAAATATCTCGTTGTATCGACATGCGAATCAAAAATGATATATATCAAGATCTTTCCTCGGTTTAGTTTGGGATTCAACGTAAGAGTCGAAATCCTTAATAATGAAAGGCACGCGAGAATTGCCTTAAGATATATATTAGGGTTGATTTAACCTGGCAAAGATCATTCAACACAAATAATGGCTTGCAAAACTAGTTACTAAACAATTCTTGATTCCATTTCTGTAAAATAAAACGAATTCAGACAACTGTAACTGTGGTAGTCTTGCTTTGGTAAGGTCTTTTTTTTTTGGGGGGGTTACGGCATATCAAACTGAATGGGTTAATTAATACCGACAATATTTTAGGATAGGTTCGTATAGACATTATAGGTATTCTTTGGTTTAGTTTGGTTTGGTTTATTTTAGTTTTACGGTATACCAACCTCAATAGGCTATTTAATCCCGACAAAATTTTTAGGATAAGTTCGTATGAATAGAATATGTATTCTTTGGTTTAGTTTGATTTGGTTTATTTGAATTTGCGGCATGTCAACCTCAATGGGTTATTTAATACTGACAATATTTTTAAGATAGGTTCGTATGAATAGAATATGTATTCTTTGCGTTACATTGGTTTGGTTTATTTTGTTTTACGGTATATCAACCTCAATGGAATATTTAATGCCGACAATATTTTTAGGGTAAGTTCGTATGAATAGAATATGTATTCTTTGGTTTAGATTGGCTTGGTTTATTTTGTTTTACGGCATCTTAACCTCAATGGGTTATTTAATGCTGACAATATTTTTAGGATAGGTTCGTATGAAAAGAATATTCATTCTTTGGTTTCATTTGGTTTGGTTTATTTTGTTTTATCACATCTCAACCTCAATGGGTTATTTAAAGTAATTTTTGGTAAAATTGTATTGCTGGTAAAATTTAAAAAAAAAATGTATTGCTGGTAGTTTGGGGTTAATTATTTGCTCATAGATAGGACCCTAACAGGTGCTGCCACCACGAGTTAGGGTGGATCTAGAAACACCAATAATTAAGAGGTGGTTCCATGCTCCTCAAAACCTCCTGATCAGAGGCCTTTCTGTCGGATGTAGTCTATCGTCTTACCCAGGACGCGGATGTAGTTTATCGTCATACCCAGGACGCGGATGTAGTTTATTGTCTTACCCAGGACGCGGATGTAGTTTATCGTTTTACCCAGGACGGGTGATAGTCTTATCAAGAGTGGAGATAACATGATTTTAGAGCTATTACTGTCTGGACATTTATTATAAGATCATTGTCCGTTACATAACATTACCCTACATGCAAACAACCAATCTTCCACTAGTTGTCATGCCATCAGCGTTTAACGCTTGTGGTCCGGTGTCGGACTGCTGACGTGTTCGTCTCGGCAATTTTACCTCCGGCGGACCGCTACAGGGCCAATGGTGGTCCCACATTGGTCAGTCTCGGGAAACTGTTAAACTGTACTCTGGATGCTGTTTCGTCCGTCTCTGCCTGGCAGACCTTTTAGAGAACTGCAGTCTCTTCAGCACTTGGTGCGGAAGAAGTTTCATTCTGTTCTGTCTATCAGACATTGGGCCTTCCTTATTTGCCGCTTCCCCTCTGACAATAAGTCAAATTCCACTTCGAAATTGAAGATACTGTTTTGCAACTACCTGCCCACCCCAGGATGATCGTTCGAGAACTATAGAATCCCCTGTACCTAGAATTCTCAGGATCTCTTTCACAGAAGTCTGTAGGCGTGCCTACCTCGTGCTTTCTTTGAGCCACCTTATGTACAGGAAATCCTAGGTATTCGACGGTCGTCTATTCACATGGAGAATCGGCTTTGCTTTAAAAGCGTGCAATTACTAGGAATCCTATCCTCTCAAGGATTGTTTTGTTGGTAACTTCTGTCAAGGGATGCTCAAGATGCATCTGAGGCAGCTCACGTGGAAACCGTCGAGTTTACGTTCATGTGTAGCAGCTTAAAGCGATTGTCCAAGTCACTGGTTCACATCCCTTTTTCTAAACCATGCACCACTTTTACTCATAATCTTTTAGGTGGATCCCCATAACCATTCGGTGAGAAAAAATATAATTCTATTTTTTTTATACTAATAGATAAGTTTAGGAATTATATTATAGAAATAGTAAATGCATATGCTTTATTTTGAAGTAAAACTAATTTAATGAAAATAAACTTGCATTTAACAACTAAATTCTATGGAACATTTATGTACACTAGTAAAATAAATCATAAACCATTTTAAAACATCTGCATAATTAATAAATTAAAAAAATGCAGATTTATTCAATAAAATCTGATGCTGCTGAAGAAGTTAATACTGTTAATCCTTCCTTTATATATAATCCTTATATAATTATTATGCTAAATTAGGATTCATACCTTTCCCAAAGGATTTAGAACGTAAGCGAATGGATTCAAAGGGAGCCGATTTCGAATTCCAGTCGAATCCATTACATTCGCTCACCTGCTAATACCATTGGGAATGGTATGAATCCTCTTTTTCTCTCCTATTCAGCCATGGGTAAATAGCAGGACAGGCCCGGTTCTATACCCATGAATGGCACCTGGTCCACCGCAGAAAGAAATGGCAACCAACTGCGGAAAAAAATCTGCCTCGTCAGTCATGTATCGAAAGATACATGTTCGCCTAAAATAGCAAGCCAGAATAGGTTCCATAATTTTGGATGCCAACTGGTTTACCGCAGAAAGAAATGGCAACCTACTACGGGAAAAAATCAGCTTCGCCAGTCATGTATCGAAAGATACATGTTCGCGTATGTGTGTATCACGCATGGCAGGTAACTGACTGATACTAAATTAATTTTATTATTAATAATTTCTAGATTTAATAATTTCTAGATTTAATTATATTTATTTTATATTAATTGTTTTATAATAATATAGTAATATTTTATTTTATATTAATTTTAAATATTAATTTAAAATTAATATTATTATTTATTATTAATATATTAAATTAAAACAATAATAAATTATAATCTTTACATAATTTTCCTTTATATATATATATAATCATTCTTTTATCTATCCTTCTCAGTTTTTATCCAACTTTTGCAATGAAGACATCCGGTAGTGTAAAAGGGACGATAAGTTATATCGCTTGATATCGTTTTAGAGTAGTTTTTTTTTTATTTTTTATTTTTTATTTTTAGTATTTAATATGGCGTAGATTACGGTAGAAATACCAATTCCTAGTTGTAACAACCGTTCCGAAAAGAAATTGCTTTGTGAACTACTAAAATATTACCGTTGGTACTTTACATGGACGCTGGTTGGGAATATCTGGTTTACTTACCTTCTCTCTTTCTTCTTCTTCTTCTTCTTCTTCTTTAGCATATCAATAAGAAGTCACTTGTTCGCAGGTCTTCTTCTTCTTCTTTTTCTTCTTCTTCTCCGCGTCGTCTTCCTTCTTCTTCTTCTTTAGTATATCATTAAGAAGACACTTGTTC